CCCCTGATTAAAAAAAAAAAAAAAAAAAACAGCAATAAAGCGGCCCTGCCTCTGAGTCTACATAGTTGTGGAATTAGACCTTGAGCTCGTTCTTTATGAGGCCTTGTTATCCCTGCCACATATCCATTCAGTCATTACATCTTGTAAGTTTTAACATACTGGTGTCACTCTCCTGGACTGCTGTATTTGCATCCAAACTGGTCTGCCCTTATCTGTTTTTGTCATCCCTGACCTATCGTCACAGGTAGTCAGAATGATCTTTTAAAAATCCAAATCTGATTCTGTCACTTTTCTGCTTATAATCCTTCACTGTCTTCCTGTATCTCTCAGTCAGCCCTCAGGACATACTTGGTGAATGAGTAAGTGAATGACTGACTGACAGAATGCATGAGTGAATTAGTGAATGGTTTTTATAATCTGTTATTGCTGATTCAGGCTTTTGTAGCCTGATGATGATTATTTGGGGGGGGGGGGGGGGAAGAAACACGTATATGTAATGGAACATTTCTGTGCCAAAGTAATTTCTTATGTGTTAAATAAAGTTTTCCTACTTGTAGAGACAAATAATGGATTTCTAAAAATTCAGTTATATAAAATATCTAGTCCTGTTGGGGGGGGGGGGGAGGGCAGATACACGTATATGTAATGGAACATTTCTGTGCCAAAGTAATTTCTTATGTGTTAAATAAAGTTTTCCTACTTGTAGAGACAAATAATGGATTTCTAAAAATTCAGTTATATAAAATATCTAGTCCTACATTTAACTTAAAATGAGATCTAACAAGTTCGGGGTTATTTTGACTTTTCCCTTTCCTGTTCTTTTTCAGCTAATTGTGGAGATTTCTTCTGTGTCACCAGAATCTTTGAACTACTGTACCACAAGTGGATTGGTAACCCAGCTCCTGAGAGAGTTGACTGGTGAGGATGTGTTGGTCAGGTGTGTTGACTGAGAGTTTTTAAAGGAAAATGTCCTCCTTTGAAGGCCAGGAAACAACATTGGGACTTAGCATGATTTTCCCTGTTAGAGCCTGTGCCTGGCTTACGGTGTCATGACTGATGTGTGTACTGAAGAAGGAGTGTTAGAAAATTGCCCAAATTACATTGTGACAACATATTGGAACTTAGCGAAGAAGCCCCACATGACAATTCAACTACTTTTGAGTGACTGTGTTCCCCTCCCTCAGCGTGTGTGGTTTCAAAAAGTTTCAATCACTTGTTAACTGCCATATGCATTTTTGGGGGCTTTAAATAACAGCCCTCTGGTATGTTAGAAAAAACTTGGGCTTTTGAAAATGAGAAAGACTTGGGGTTGCATGCCTCTCTATTACTTATTAGCTGTTTGACCTTGGACAAATTATTGTCACTTTTCTGCATCTCTGTTTCCTTATCTCTCAGATGGAACAATAACAATTCTATAAAAAAGGTATTATGAGGATTAAGGGAGTTGACCATGGAAACCAATACAATGGCTGAAATAGGTCATCAAAGAAATGTTCGTTCTAATCTATTCCTGGCCCCTATTGCTCCTACTCCCTTAATCCCATTTAATATCTGCCAAATGTTTCTTTATTAATATTGCACAGCTTACCAACACAACCTTACTGTTAAATTTTTGGCTTGCTTCAAGTATTTTGCTGTTAAAATAGCATTGTAGTTATCATCTTTGTGTATATAGGCTTTTATTTTCCTATCTTAAGTAATCTGATTGTCCTATGTTCTTTAAATATGACTGAATTTGTTAAACCTGTATGTCACTAGATACATTGTTTCAAAGCATTTGAGTATCTCAGCCTAATGAGGAAATTAATTTTAATTATTTTTCAGCTTTGTATCAAATTTTGTGACAGAAAAAACCTGCAAATGGTCAGTTAAAATACTGTAGGTTCAACTGCAAAAACACATTTTTTAGTTATTTGGGGAAATTTGATCATGGTTGGATATTAGATGATACAAAAGAATTACTTTTAATTTTTAAATATATGGTAATGGATTATAATTGTGTGAGGAAATATTTGTGTTTTTTAGAGATGGATACTGAAATATGAAGGGATAAATGGCAAGATGACTAGGATTTACTTTAAAATTGTTTAGCAAAAAATGTAGGAAAAAGATGAAATAAGTAGAGCAAAATCTTGATAACTGTAAAATCAGGGTCATGGGTACATGAGGACTATTGTACTATACTTTTGTGTGTGTTTGATATTTCAAAATAAAACAGAAGTTTTTAAAAAATCTTAGGAAGCAGCTATGTTTTATTGGAAACAGTACTGGGCCTCATCTCAAAAGGTCAAGATTTAATTCTAAACTCTGCCTTGTAATAAGAATATGATTCTGGATAAGTCACTGCAACTTTCCTGGCCTTGCATCCTCATCTGAAAAGTAGAGCCAAGGTTATTGACTTTTCAGATTTGGTGAGAAGAATTAAATAAGATAACCTATATGAAAGCAATTTATAAACTATGCTAGTCATATGCAAAACTCGTTTTTTTCCTTCTACATTTTAGAGCCACCTGTATAGAAATGGTGACATCACTGGCATATACCCATCATGGACGACAGTACCTTGCTCAAGAAGGAGTAATTGACCAGATTTCTAATATAATTGTTGGGGCAGATTCAGACCCTTTCTCCAGCTTTTATTTGCCAGGTAAGAAACATTGATGCTTGTGGAAATGATGGTGCATGTTTTGTTTCCGAGTTGTCTCTGATAGGATAGGCCAGGCATTGTTTTCTGTAGAGTCAGTTCCTTTTAGAAGATACCCACAGCCACCAAAGTCAACATCACATTAAAAGGATTATTCACTACAGTCAAGTGGGTTTTTCCCAAGGATGCAGGGGTGGTTCAACATATGCAAATCCATAAATGTGGTGCACCACATAACCAGAATGAAGGACAAAAACTATATAGTTATCTCAGTAGATGCAGGAAAAGTATTTGACAAAATTCAGCATCCTTTCATAATTAAAAGCTCTCAGAGTAGGAATTAGGTATAGAAGGAATATATCTCAATACAATAAAGGCTGTATTTGACAAACCCACAGCTAACGTACTCAACAGGAAAAAGCTGAAATTTTTTCCTCTAAGACCACGAACGAGACAAGTATACCCACTTTTACTACTTCTATTCAATGTAGAAAGGAAGTCCTAGCCAGAGCAATTAGGCTAGGACTAAAAAGAAATAAAACACATCTGAATTGGGCCGGCCCGGTGGCGCACTCGGTAGAGTGAAGCACTTGGGAGCGCGGCGGCGCTCCCACCGAGGGTTTGGATCCCATATAGAGACTGGTCTGCTCACTGGTTGAGCATGGTGCAGGCGCGACACTGAGGGTTGCGATTCCGTTGCCGGTCCCGGTACGGGCGCGACACCGAGGGTTGCGATCCTGTTACCGGTCACGAAAAAAGACCAAAAAAAGTAAAAAAAAAAAAAAAAAACCACATCTGAATTGGAAAGGAAGAAGTGAAATTGTCCCTGTTTGCAGACATGATCTTATACAGGCATATTTCAGAGATTACTGCTGAGTACAGTGTCAGACCACTTCATTAAAGCGAATATCACAATAAAGTGAGTCACACAAATTTTTTGGTTTCCCAGTGCATGTAAAAGTTATGTTTATACTATACTGTAGCCTATTAAGTGTGCAAGAGCATTATGTCTTAAAAAATAATGTATATACCTCAATTAAAAAATAGTTTATTGCCAAAAAATGCTAATAATCATCTGTGCCTTCAGTGAATTGTCATCTTTTTTGCTGGTGGAGGGTCTTGTCTCAATGTTGATGGCTGCTGACTGATCAGGGTGTTGGTTGCTGAAGGTGTGGGGTGGCTGTGGCAATTTCTTAAGACAACAATGAAGTTTGCCACATCAGTTGACTTTTCATTTCACGAAAGAGTTCTCTGTAGCATGCAATGCTATTTGCATTTTACCCAAAGTAGAACTACTTTCAAAATTGGAACCAAACCTCTCAAACCCTGCCATTGCTTTACCAACTAAGTTTATGTAATATTCTAAATCCTTTGTTGTCATTTCAGCAATGTTAACAGCTTCTTCACCAGCAGTAGATTCCATCTCGAGAAACCACTTTCTTTGGTCATCCATATGAAGCAACTCTTCGTTCATTAAAGTTTTGTCATAAGATTGCAGCAATTCAGTTACATCTTTAGGCTCCATTCTAATTCTACTTGTCTTGATATTTCCACCACATCTGCAGTTACTTCCTCCACTGAAGTCTTGAACCACTCACAGTCATCCATGAGGGTTGGAATCAACTTCTTCCAAACTCCTGTTAATGTTTCTCTTTTTACCTCCTCCCATGAATCAAGAAGAATTGTTTCCAGGAAGTTTCAATTTATCTAGATCCATCAGAGGAATCACTATTAATGGCAGCTGTAGCCTTACAAAATGTATTTCTTAAATAATAAGACTTTACAGTCAAAATTTACTTCTTGATCCGTGAGCTACAGAATAGATATAATGTTAACTGGCATGTTAACTACAGCATTAGTCTCCTTGTACATCATCAGAACTCTTGGGTGACCAGGTACATTATCGATGAGTGGTAATATTTTGAAAGGAATCTTTTTTTCTAAGCTGTAGTTCTCAGTAGCAAGCTTAAAATATTCAGTAAACCATCCTGTAAACAGATCTGCTGTCATACAGGCTTTCTTTTTCCACTTACAGAGCATAGGCAGAGTAGATTTAGCATCATTTTTAAGGGCTCTAGGATTTTCAGAATGGTAAGTGAGCGATGGCTTAAACTTAAAATCACCAGTTGCATCAGCCCCTACCAAAACAGTCGGCATGTCCTTTGAAGCTTTGAAGCCAGGCATTGACTTCTCTCTAGTTATAAAAGTCCTAGAAGGCATCTTCTTCCAATACATATAAGGCTGTTTCATCTACGTTGAAAATCTGTTGTTTAATACCTTTTCAATTATTTTAGCTAGATCTTCTGGATAACTTCCTGCAGTTTCTATATCAGCACTTGCTGCTTCACCTTGCACTTTTATGTTATGGAGACAGCTTCTTTCCTTAAACCTCATGAACCAACCTCTGCTAGCTTCAAACTTTTCTTCTGTAGCTTGCTCACCTCTCTCAGCCTTCATAGAATTGAAGGGAGTTGAGGCACTGCTGTGGATTAGGCTTTGGCTTTTAAGGAAATGTTGTGGCTGGTTTGATCTCCTATTCAGACCACTGAAACTTCCTTCATATCAGCAATAAGGCTGTTTCACTTATCATTTGTGTGTTCAGTGGAGCAGGACCTTTAATTTCCTTCAAGAACTTTTCCTTTGTATTCACAACTTGACTAACTGTCTGGTGCAAGAGGCCTAGCTTTTGGCCTATCTTGGCTTTTGACATGCCTTTCTCACTAAACGTAATCATTTCTAACTTTGATTTAAAGTGAGAGAAGTGCAACTCTTCCATTCACCTGAACACTTAGAGGCCATTGTAGTGTTATTAATTGACCTAATTTCAAAATTGTTGTGTCTCAGAGAATAGGGAGTCCCAAGGAGAGGGAGAGAGATGAGGGAACAGCCAGTTGGAGGGGCAGTCAGTACACACACAACAGTCATTAAGTTTGCTCTCTTATATGGGCATGGTTCGTGGCACCCTAAAACAGTTACAACAGTAATGTCAAAGATCACCGATCACAGATCACCATAACAGATATAATAACAATGAAAAAGTTTGAAATATTGTGAGAATTACCAAAATGTGGCCACAGAGACACAGAGTGAGCACATGCTGTTGGAAAAATGACGCCAATAGACTTGTTCAATGCAGGATTACCATAAACCTTCAATTTGTAAAAAATGCAGTATCTGTGAAGCATAATAAAGTAAAGCGCAATAAAAGGAGGTATGTTTGTTTATAAAAAACCCTAAAGACTCCACCAGAGAACTGTTAAACTAATAAATTCAGTAAGTTTACAGGATACGGAATCAACATACAGAAATCAGTAGTGTTTTTATATGCCAATAGTGAACTATATGAAAAAGAAATTGGGAAAGCAATCCCATTTACAATAGGAATGAATTTAACCAAGGAAGTGAAAGATCTCTACCATGAAAACTACAAAACATGAATGAAAGAAGAATTGAAGAGGACACAAATGAATGGAAAGATAGTTTATGTTCATGGATTGGAAAAATTAATAGTGTTAAATTATCCATACTTCTCAAAGTGATCTACAGATTTAATGCAATCCCTACCAAAATACCAATGACATTCTTCACAGAAATAAGAAAAAAAGTCCTAAAATTCGTATTCATATGGAAGTACAAAAGCCCCTGAATAGCCAAAGCAATCTTGAGCAAAATGAATAAAGCTAAAGGCATCACACTGCCTGACTTCAAAATATACTACAAAGCTATAGTAGTCAAAACAGCATGGCACTGGTAAAAATAGACTCGCAGATCAATGGAACAGAATAGAGAGTCCTCAAATAAATCTCCACATTTATGGTTAATTGATTTTCGACAAACATGCCAACAACACACAGTTGATAGTCTCCTCGATAAATGGTGTTGAGACAACTGGATGTCCACATGCAGAAGAATGAAATTAGACCCTTATCTCATACCATATACAAAAATTAACTCACAGTGGATTAAAGACTTAAACGTAAGACCTGAAACTGTAAAACTACTAGAAGAAAATGTAAGGGGAAAGCTGCATTACATTGGTCTGAGCAAATATATTTTGGGTATGTCCTCCAAAAGCACAGGCAACAAAAGCAAAATAGAAGGGATTACATCAAACTTAAGAAGTTTTTGAATGATCAAAGAAACAGTAAAGAGGCAACCTATGTCATGGGAGAAGATATTTGCAAGCCATACATCTGATTAGGGCTTAATATCCAAAATATATGAGACTCAATAGCAAGAAAAACAAAAACAACCTGATTTAAGTATGTACAAAGGCTATGAATAGACATTTCTCAAAAGAAGGTATACAAACAGCCAACAGGTATATGAAAATGTGTTCAACGTCATTAATCATCAGGGAAATGCAAATCAAAACCATAGTGGGGTATCACAACAATTTGAAAGGCTAATATCAAAAAGACTGAAGATAAGTGTTGGTGGGGATGCAAAGTAAAGGGAACCCTGGCATGCTGTGGATGGAAATGTAAATTAGTACGGCCATTATAGAAAACAGTATGGAAGATCCTCAAAAAATCAAAAATAGGACTGCCATATGATCCAGCAGTTCCACTTTTGTGCGTGTATCCAAACGGTATGAAATCAGTGTGTTGAAGAGATATCTGCACTTCTACATTAATTGCAGCATTATTCACAGCAGCCAAGATATGAAAACAACTTAAGTGTCCATCAGTGGATGAATGGATTAAAAAAATATGGTATACATCCCCAATGGAATACTGTTTAGCCTTAAAAAAAGAAGGAAGTCCTGTCATTTGCCACAATATATATGAACCTGGAGGACATTATGTTAAGTGAATAAGCCAGGCACAAAAAGACAAATACCACATGATCTCACTTATATGTGGAATCTAAAGAAATTGACTCAGAAGTAGAGATAAGGATGGTGATTACAGGGGCTGGGTAGGGCAGGGTTGTATAGATATTGGCCAAAAGATACACAATTTCAGTTAAGAGGAATAAGTTCAAGATATAGCAGTTTATTGTATTTGTGAAAATTGCTTAGTAGACTTTAAGTGGTTTCACCACAAAAAATATGTGAGGTAAGGCATATGTTAATTAGCCCGATTTAGCCATTCCACAATATATCTTTATCTCAGAACATGTTGGGGGCTGGCCCGGTGGCGCACTGCTATAGTGCGCCGCTTGGGAAGAGCGGCGGCACTCCCACCGAGGGTTCGGATCCCACATACAGACCGGTTCCCGCTCACTGGCTGAGCGAGGCGCGGGAGCGACGCTGAGGGTTGCGATCCCGTTGCCGGTCCCGGTCCGGTACGGGGGCGACACTGAGGGTTGCGATCCGTTGCCGGACACGGAAAAAGACAAAAAGGAAAAAAAAAAAAAACATGTTGCGCATGACAAATATATACAATTTTTGTTTGTCAATTTAAAAAAATTATTTAAAAAAAGACAAGATACTGATAGCCCCTTAACAAGGTAGAATCTATTGCCGTGGAAGCCAGGCATTGTTGACTGATTTTCTGGAATCATCAGTGTTCTTTAGACCATTAGGATAGCTTTCTTTTGAAGCCCAATTAAAAGAAACAAATAAAAATAGTAGTAATTACATTTACTCTATATTTCACAGATTCATCAAATCTCTCAGTTGAAATCTTTATCTAATGTAGATCTATTCTAGATATTCTATTGTAGGTCATGGTTGATTGGTCTTTATTGAACATTTCCAGAAATTGGAGACATTCCATCCTTAGGTAGTCTGCCTTATTTTATTGATGAACATATGTGTTTAAAAATTTCTTCCTTGTAATGACTCCAAACTTGCCTTCCTGTAATTTGTGTCTACTGGTCTTTTTTCTTTGTTCTCCCTCTTGTATATTACAGTACTTCAGTGTTTGAACCCAGCTCCATTGACACCCTGGAGTTTCTGTTCTCTCAGGACCACACATCACAGGTCTTTTGGTAACTCTTTACGTCCTCTCTGATTTCCAGGCAACACACTACTCTAACCTTTATCCTCTTTCTAGCCTACAGGTTATTACTCTTGCTGAGAAGACATAGGGGCCCACAGTTTGTGCTGTCTTGCTCCTCTATTAAACCATATTTTTGTAAATATCTTTAGGATTTGTGAAGTTTTTTGGAAACCTGGCTATCATGGATAGTCCTCAACAGATCTGTGAGCGTTATCCTGTCTTTGTGGAAAAAGTCTTTGAAATGACAGAAAGTCAGGACCCCACCATGATTGGCGTAGCAGTAGACACAATTGGAATTCTAGGATCCAATGTTGAAGGAAAACAAGTTTTACAGAAAACAGGTTGGTATAACTTGTCTTGGCTTTCTTTAGGGATATCTTAATTTTTGAGAAGGGTTCAATATGTAAGTTCATTTGTTGGTGTGTTAACTGCATTGCAGAAACTATTTTGGGGGTGGCAATATATATTTTTCATATATTTTTAAATAGGTTTCTGCTTCCACAAGTGGTAATCTTCTTAACCATAACCTTGGACTGATCTCTGAAAGTATTTGTGAAAATTTTGTTTACGAAAATACTACTGAAAACCTTTTCTTTTTTACTTCTCATTGTTTAGGGCCCTACCAACCAACTTGGACCAAACACCATTTCCCCTGTACATCTTCCCTGAATAGTATTCATGGTACAAAAACCATTGGCTGGAGTCAGAAAGACCTAGATTTATGTTCCAGTTCTAACACTGACTTAGCTTTTTGAATTTGATATACTCACTTCACTTCCCTAGGCTTCATTTTCCTCACTTATAAAAAGGATATAACAGCTACTACTCAGGGTTGTTGTGTTTATTTAATGAAATTTTGTTTTATATTTGTAATGTCAAGGAAGGAAAGGAAACAAAGTTGGTTACAAGATTTTATGTTAAGAAAGATACTTTTATGGCACATCCATGAATGTCTTAAAAGCACAACAAATTCTATACAAAAAAATAATGTATAGCACTATTATTAAAACCCTTGTGAAGTATATGTGGAAAATTAATATGCTATTGTGTGTCACAACTGATATCTTTGTTATATATACTTTTTCAAGCGCTTTTTACCTATGACATAATCCTTTTACAATCATGCAGAGAACATACATTTATCTCATTTTACAGATAACGTAGCTAAAATTCAGAGCATTAATAACATTTTCTGAGATCTTGCAGACTGGGGCAGCTGCTACTCACATCATTTGATTCCAGTCCTGTATACTTTATCTATGCCGCATTGCATATATTGTGTTTTAGGCCTGTCACTTGGTCTCTGACTACATGCTTATTCGGGTTGGTAGGGGTCATAGTATATGAAAGCATACTTTAAAAATCTCTTTTTTAACTTCACACCCATTTGGATGGCTATTACTTAAAAAAAAAAAAACAACAAGAACCCAAGAACCAAAAGTAACAGGTTTTAGGATGTGGAGAAATTGTAACCTTTGTGCTTTCTGGTGGGAATGTAAAATGGTGCAACCACTACAGAAAACAGTTCCTCAAAAATTAAACATAGAATTACCATATGATCCACTTCTAGGTGTATACCCAAAGGAACTGAAAGCAGGGACTCAAACAGATGTTCGTACACCCATGTTCATAACAGCATTATATATAATAGCCCAAAAAGATGGAAGCAACTAAGTGTTCATTGACAGATGAATGAATAAACAATATGTGGTGTATGCGTGGAATGGAATATTAGCCTTAAGAATGAGATTCTGACACATACTACAGCGTGAAGGAACCTTGAAGACATTACAGTAAGAAATAAGCCAGACAACAAAGGAACAGATATTGTATGATTCCACTTAGATGAGGTACCTAGAAAAGTCAGATTCATAGAGAAAGTAGATTAGTGGTTTCTAGGGTATCAGAGTAGGGAGGAGTGGGAGTTAATGTTTAATGGGTACAGAGTTTCAGATTGGATTGTTGAAAAAGTTGTGGGGATGGGAGTGGTAATGGTTGCACAACAATGTAAATGTGCGTAATGGCACTGAATTCTATGGTTAAAATGGGAAATTTTATGTTACATATATTTTACTACAATAAAAAAAAAAAATTCATTGTCATCCTTGAAAGGAACTCGCTTTGAACGCTTGCTCATGAGAATAGGACATCAAGCAAAGAATGCCTCCACAGAGCTAAAAATTAGATGTTTGGACGCAATTTCATCTCTTCTGTATTACCAGTAAGTAGATTGGGAAATTAATGGACCACAGGATATGTTTGGGAGAATAAATCTGTATGAATCAACATAATATTAGTTAACTTGATATAAATGTTGACTAAATAAATGCTGTCTTTCATTTAGTAAAAGAAGATAATCCTCATTATATGACTAATGACATTTTTAAGTTAAAGTGGAATCACAGAGTATTAGAACTAAAGAGACTCTAGAGATTGCTTAATCAACCCCATCCAAAAAGAAAAAAAAAAAAACTGGGAAAGGTCTGGTCTGGGAATAGTGCTCCAGACTTAGCCAAGATCACAGCAAATTAATGACAGAATGCCATCAGAACCTAGGTTTCCTGACTTCCAAATGAGTACTTTTCTTCAAATAAGTTAACCTTGTCATGAGATTTTCCTTTTCTGTTCTGTAGCCAGAGCAGCAAACTGATGACCTCTTGAGGATGACAGAGTCCTGGTTTTCCTTGTTGTCTCGAGACTCGCTGGAACTCTTTCGTGGCATCAGTAATCAGCCCTTTCCTGAACTACACTGTGCTGCCTTAAAAGTGTTTACAGTACGTATTCTCTTCTCTTCCTTCCATAGGTCCTTCTCGAACTCTGCCAGTTCAGCACATGAGTACTGACATGAGTCCCTATGCTATGCTCTGTGGATGCACAAGTGCATAGTATAGTTTCTGCCCTCTGCTACCTTAGAGACTAATGAGGGAGACAGATGTGTAAACATATTGTTTCAGTAATAGGTATTAGGTGCTGTTTGAGGTTTGAACAGGGTGCTCTGTGGTATTACAGAATTAATTCCACACTCCTTGTCTGCTACCCTCTACTGATCCAGCCCTGGTCTTTTTCCTGAGCCTTATTTCTTGCCATCCCCCTTCTGGCACATAATGCTCTAATAATACCAAACTGCCTGTTTCATATCTCTGGACCTTTGCTGTGTTTTCTGCATTCAACGCTCTTCCTTAACTTTGCTTGTTAACCTCTTATTCATTCTTCAAGGATTAGCTCAGGTATGTCTTCAGCCCACTTTGCCCAAACCAACAAGGTGTAGTTAAAACCATGTTGGCTCTCATACGCATCTGTTCATTCATTCAGCAGATATTTGTTGAGTTTCCTTTTTTTGCTAGGTGCAGGGGTACAGCAGTGAATAAATTATACTTCCTTTTATGTAGCTTCTTGTCTATTGAGGGAGCAAGGCAATAAATATAATTGTACAGTTACCTGTATAATTACAGCTGTGTTAAGGATTACCTCTGTGTTCTATTTATTATATTGTATTGAAAATGTTTATTTATTGATCTGTCTCACCTATTAGGCAGAGTTTGTTGAGAGTAGGAACCATATCTCATTTACCCTTGTAGCCCCAGCACTTATCATGGTGCCCAGGCTCATAGAAATGTAGTGATCACTTTAATAATCTTATCGATAATGGGATCTCAGGCAGCATACTTGGCCTAGACGGGGAGGGAACAAGGAAAGTGGAGAGGAAAGTTTTCCTGAGAATGTGATACATGATCTGGGTCTTGAAGGACACAAGAACATTTGTTTTTAGACTGCTTTACCCTTTTAAATAGTCACTGTATCAGACAGCTGTTTTGGCTACTGCATTGGTGTCTTCATTACTTATTTTGTTTTTGCTCTTCTACATTATCCTCTGCTTAGTTAGTTGGCCACAGTTATGGAGATAATTTTTGATTTACTGATTGGTACAGCCATTTTTATTTCAGCCCATCCTTCATCCTTGGCTATTGTTAACTAGACCAGTGTTTCTCAAACATTAATCTTAGGGATCTTGTTAAAATGTAGATTCTGATTCAGTAGTTCTGGGATAGAGCCTGAAACCCTAAATTTCTAACAAGTTCCCAGGTGATGCTGATGCTCCTCGTCTGTGGAACACATTTTGGAGGAAGAAACTAGGCTACAAATTTGATTGTTACTTGTTCTTCATTAAAATGTAATAGTGAGGTTTTAAAAAACATTATAAACATTGCTTATTATTTTAAAATTTGGAAAAGACAGAAGTAGAACTTTTTAAAATTACATAAAGTTGCACCTGTTTGGTGTATTTCCTTTTAGTTTTAGTATTTCTTTTTTATTTTTGGTGAGATATTTCAAACACAGTCGTATTTTGCTACCTCTACCCAAACCCATTTTTATTCTAACCTCCCCAGATGTAATCACTGTTATGAATTCAGGGTTTACAGGCCCATACGTGATTTCATATTTCTACTACATATTGTATGTATCCTTAAACAAAATATAGTATTTGACATATTCTTAAACTTTGTAAATGGTATCGTGCTGTTCATATCTTTTTTTTTTTTTTTTTTTTTTTGTCCTTTTTGAGACCGGCCGCACTGCGCTCAGCCAGTGAGCACACCGGCCATCCCTATATAGGATCCGAACCCGCGGCGGGAGTGCCACCACGCTCCCAGCGCCACACTCTCCCGAGTGCGCCACGGGCTAGGCCCTGTTCATATCATTTTGCAATTTGCTTTTTCTCTTCGGCATTATGTTTTTAAAATTTATGTGTTTAAAGAGGCAGTTAGAAAGTCAGTATTTCTTTGCTTAGCAACAATGTATCATTCTCCTATAAATGAAGATTTAGATAGTATCTATTACAAATGATACTACAACATTCTTGAAAATATCTTGTGCACGTGTATGAGAATGTCTTTAAGGTACTCTTTTCCTCTCTAGTTTTGTTTTTTATGTTTCCACTGTTGTAATAATACCTGGTGTATAACTTGGGTCTGCTTTTTTCATATAACAGATTTACCCACATTATTACCTATTCTTTGTAACATTCTTAATGTTTGTTAATTTTTATTACTATATACCATAATTTATTTAACCATTTCCCCCATTATTAGACATTTATATGTAACTTTCACATGGTGATTAACATCTTTGTGTACAAAGCTTTTTAATACTTAGGATTATTTTCTTATATTAGATTCTCAGGAGGGATTTGCTTAGGCAAAAGGCAACATTTTTAAGGTTCATGTTGCCACATTTCTAAGTACTGTGCCATTCCACTAACAACCTTAGCTTCTTGAGGCTCAGAATTGTCTTCTTTCTGCCTTCCATTTCAGGCCATTGCAAACCAACCCTGGGCTCAGAAACTTATGTTTAACAGTCCCGGTTTTGTAGAATATGTGATGGACCGGTCGGTGGAGCATGACAAAACTTCAAAGGATGCCAAATATGAACTGGTGAAAGCACTCGCCAACTCCAAAACAATTGCAGAGATCTTTGGGAACCCAAATTATTTGAGGCTTAGAACTTACCTGAGCGAAGGTCCATACTATGTGAAGCCTGTGTCCACGACAGCAGTAGAAGGAGCTGAATGATTTCTTCTAGAGTCTAATATAGAGGACCATGTTTTGACCAGAACTTCTAAAGCATTTGACTCAATCTGTATTTTACAAAACAGAGATTTCCCTTTCCCCAGAGTTATCATGGAGTGTTTAATATAACTTGATTACCAACATTGTTAAATTTCTACATTGAAATACAAAGTGGAACCAGGAGCTTGGACTACGTTAAGGCAGGCAGACTTGATAATAGAACCAGTGTTTTTCAGATTCCTTTGTTGTAATAGAACCAGTGTTTTTCAGATTCCTTTGTTGTAATAGAACCAGTGTTTTTCAGATTCCTTTGTTGTAATAGAACCAGTGTTTTTCAGATTCCTTTGTTGTAATAGAACCAGTGTTTTTCAGATTCCTTTGTTGTAATAGAACCAGTGTTTTTCAGATTCCTTTGTTGTAATAGAACCAGTGTTTTTCAGATTCCTTTGTTGTAATAGAACCAGTGTTTTTCAGATTCCTTTGTTGTAATAGAACCAGTGTTTTTCAGATTCCTTTGTTGTAATAGAACCAGTGTTTTTCAGATTCCTTTGACTGCCTTAATCTTTGCAACAAGATGGATGTTTTGTTCCTTTCAGAAAATTTTCATGGACATACTCACAGTCTTATTTAAAAATCTGCTCTAAATAAAATTGAAGTCTCTTCACCACCTTTTTTCTTTTTGGTTCTTTTTCCACTTGTGATTCCACTTTCAAAGTTTTGGATGTATTCTTTGAAAAATGAATAGTATAGAATCTTAAAGAGTCTCTTCACCACCTTTTTTCTTTTTGGTTCTTTTTCCACTTGTGATTCCACTTTCAAAGTCTTGGATGTATTCTTTGAAAAATGAATAGTATAGAATCTTAAAGTTATGTTCTCTATACTAAGAATAAATACTTTTAATGAGGTCTCTTTTGATATTTTTGTTACTATTATTCCGTTGAAAACATAAAATCTCTAAAAAATTTTTTTAGTGTTCTTTTGATGTGTTTTTGTTTTTTTATCAATGAATTTTACCCTGTTGTGGTTTGGGAGAGTGATAACATGCTTACCAGAAAGGTCATCTAAACTGTCGTTTTATTTATCTGTAGGTCATATTGTTGAGGGTTTTGCCTTTAATTTTTTACATCCATAAAGTTAATTGTGAGCTGATCAGAGAGAGGGAAACTGACTGCTAATAACCAGACTGAGAACAGAAGGGACAATATGTATAAGCCAGCATGCCATCTCATTAATTTACAAAGGTTAATTTTTCTTTTCACAAAGGTTAATCTTTATTTTCATTGACAAAAACTATACCCACCTGTTTCCCAGTGCCCTTCCCTCTAAACAGCAAAGCATTCTGCACCCCAAATCACCTGTCTAGAGGTCTCTGCATGAGCATGTTGTCAGAGTGACAGGTTCAGAATTGAGAGATATACTTCTTTTAGGAAATGGTGATGCTGATAAGCCATCCCTGCTCTGTTAACAAAATGGTTCTCAAATGACTGGAATTCTGTGGTCCCTAGATTGGTCATCTCTCCTCTGCCGTCTCTTGTATCTCTGAGTCTCCTTTTTCCGGATTTCCATACTGACCATTTTCCTATTGTTTTTGCTTTGTTTTTGGCAGCTGGCCAGTACAGGGATCAAACCCTGGGCCTTGGTGTTATCAGCACAGCACTCTAACCAACTGAGCTAAGTGGCTAGCCCTACTATTAATATTACTAATTAGGCTATAGCCAGGGCTTTCCTGGCCTGAGAGATATTCTATCTTTTAAAAGTGACTTAGACTGGCCAGTGAGCTCGGTTAGGGCATGGTGATGATAATACCAAGGTCAAGGGTTTGGATCCCTATATGAGCCAGCTGCCAAAAATATAAGATAACTTTTGCTTCAGTGTCATTCATGATGTGATTTTTTTTCCAATTTTTTTTTATTGTGGTAAAATACATATAATATAAAATTTTACTAAACCATTTTTAATTGTACAGTTCAGTGGTATTAAATACCTTCATAATGTTGTACCATTCTCCTCCAGAATTCTTTTCATCTTGTAAAACTGAAACTCTATACTCATTAAACAATAACTCCCCATTCTCCTTTCCCCCCAGCCCCTGGCAACCATCATTCTACTTCATGACGTTAATATTATTTATTTACCATCAGAGTTTAGAGGGGTGCCCTTTCTCCTTTGTATGGCCCACACATTAATTCTGATTTTGTACCTGTGACTTTTTTTTTTAGATTTAATAAAATTTGCAAGTTTTTTTTTTTTAAATTTAATAAGTAGACATTTATTGACTGACTGTTATGTTCTTGGCATTGGGAAAAAGAGCTAAGTGCTAAGTATATCTCATTTAATTTTTACATCTCTCTTTCACAGATGAGGAAACTGAGAACTCAAGTAGCTTATCCCAAAATCCCACAAGGAGAAAGTGGTTAATAGTGAAAGAAAACAGAAATTTAGTGGAGTCAGTAGAAAATTACAGTGTATAATAAGTGGAATAATAGAGGAAAACATATAAATACCTACCATGGACTTGAGGGTAGGTTTTCCAGAGACAGGAGCACCTGAATCTTGATGATCCAATAGCAGATAGTCAATGGAATAATAGAGTCAAGTAGCAAAGTAAGCAGAGGGCACAGCAGTGACAGATATGAAAACAAGAAAATGTTGGAGGTACTACATGTAATTCAATATGACCAAAGCCTAGGATTTACAGGAGAAAGTTGCAAAATTTTTAATCTTTTTTCTAGTCATAGCTACCATTTCTTAGCATCTACTTTATGCTAGGCAGCTAGTGTGCATTTTCTCATTTTATCCTTATAACAGCTGTACAAGTTAAGTATCATTTTGTAGACAAAGACACTAAGATTGGGAAATTAAGTACCTTGTACAGGTCGCACAGCCCAAAGCCAGAATATTAACCTGGCTTTCTGAGGGTTAATTGTGTTCCCCTTTGGTTACTTAGTTAGATTTCAAAGAATAATAGCTAATAGTTATTGAGTGTTTAATGTGTGCCATTCTAAGAATTAATTCATGCTGCTATTCTCACACTATCAGGAATTAGGTACTGTTATTACAAAAGAGACCAAGGCATGACAAAGTTCAGGAACTTGCACGAGGTCACACAGCAAATAAGTGGAGCCAGCATTTCAACCTTGGCTGTATAACTCAGAGCATATGTTCTTAAATGCTGCTTCTTCCTCTTACTGAACACTTACTATGGGCCAAATCCAATACTAAACTCTTGACGTACCTCATGTAGAATATTAACTGTATTAGTACATTTTCATGTTGCTGTAACAGAATACTTGAGACTGGGTAATTTATAAAGAAAAGAGGTTTATTTGGCTCATGATTCTGGGACAGCTGCATCTGGTGCAGGCCTCAGGCTGCTTCTACTCATGGTGGAAAAATGGCAGGCAGCCGGCAGGTGCAAGCAGATCACATGGTGAGAAGAAGCAATAGAGAGAGGGGAGGTGCCAGGATTATTTAAACAACCACCTTTCATGGGAACTAATAGAGCAAGAACTCACTCACTATCCCCCTCCCCCAGGGAGGGCATTAATCTATTCATGAGGGATCTGCCCCCTATTACCCAGCTCCCAACACTGTTGCATTGGGCATCAGATTTGAGAATGAACTTTGGGGGAGACAACATATCCAAACTACCATCAACTCTACAAAGGTTGATTTTGTATATAAACTGAGGCTCAACATGTTTAGTAACATCCAAAAATAAGACCTAATAAATATCATGGCAGGTGTTTTCAATGTGTATTACTTACGGGTACTTTGTACTTAAAATCTCAAGAATCCCAGGATAGAACCACTGATCTAATTTGTAGTCATTGTGCAGGAGGAATCAGAATGTGTGTTTTGGGTTGAATTGTGTCCCCCCAAAACATGTGTTCAGCTCCTAACCCCCGGTACCTGTGAAAGTGACCTTATTTCAAAATAGGGAGTCGCTGATGTAATCAAGTTATGATAACATTTGTATGGGCCCTAATCCACTGACTGGTGTCTTTACAAGAAGGAAATTTGGACCCAGAAACAGAGGGAAGATTGTGTGAAGTCACAGACACAGGAGAAGGCCATGTGAAGACGGAGGCATAGTGAAGTGACACATCTGCGAGGAATGCCAAGGATTGCTATGTAACCACCAGAAGCTAGAAGAGACAGGGAAAGATTCTTCTCCACAGGCTTCCGAGAGAGCAGGGCCCTGCAGACATCTTGATTTTAGCCTTCTAGCCTCAAGAATGCAAGAGAATAAATTGTTGTTCTAAGTCACCCAGTTTGTGGTACTTTGTTATGGTATCCCTAGGAAACTAATAGAGTGTATTTCATGACATGAAATGTGAATTTGTTGTATCCCATCTGTGAAGTACGGCCTAAATGGGACTTAATGAAAGTTGTTTTACAAAAAGTTGCATATCTAGGCTGGCTAGTTAGCTCAGTAGGTTAGAGCATGGTGCCAATAGCATCAAGGTCTAGGGTTTGATCCTTATACTGTCTATCCACCAAAAAAAAATTGCATATCTAAGTCTTTACACTAGTGAGGTTTTAGGTTACTATAAACTAGGTGGCTAATACCTTTAAGTTAAATGTAGTGCCACCACCCAGATTACTAAAATGTTTCCTGCTTGCAGGCAAGAATAACATTTTGTTATTAGAATTCCATTGCTTTGATTGTGCTTTGTTTTCAAGATCATGCTGATAAAGCCATGTTTCATCTCCTGTTACAGTTCTTTGAAGAAATGCTTCAGGATCTTGATCCCACTTATTTAAAATTTTATAGAGGCTGACCGGCCAGCTCAGTTGGTGAGAATGCAGCATTGTGTAAGCTGAGCCAATTGAGATGTCTATGATGTTGGCTATTGTTTCTGCTGTTAATCATCAGTCCTCTTCAGTTAGGGCATGAAAAAGGTTAATTTTTTCCTAACAAATTGATGTGGATAGTCTGCCACTGTGGGCTTCATCTTCGACTTGTCCCATCTTAGAACAAGTTATCCGTTTATAAACTGCTGACTTCTTTGAGGGCATTTGTCCCCATAAGGTTTTGGTAAAGCATCAGTAATTTCACCATCATTCCACCCAAGCTTCACCATAAATTTGATGTTTATTCTTGCTTCAATTTTAGCAGAATTCGTGTTGCTCTGATAGGGGCTGTTTTCAGACTGACGTCTTATCCTTCTTAGTGCCTCTCAAACTAGATCCTGTTCAGACGTGTTATAACAAGTTAGTGTGAGTTTATTTTGATGCAAAATAATTTTGAAATCCATGCATAGCTTTTTCATAATATGCATTTTCCATGAATTTTTGAAGACCCCTCATGTGTGTATATGTAT